CGTCTTCGGCGTTTCCCAAAACTCTTCTTCAAAACTCAGTCTTCACAGCGCTCCACAGTGGCTGAACATCACATGCTGCATGTACATTAAGAAAGGATGAGGTAACTGCTGAGGTACTCTCATTGATTTTGATTTTATACAGTTTTGTTGTACTCTGGGTACTCAAAGGGAAATGACTCTCTCCTTACATTCCGCTCCTAAATTAGAGCTGGGCGATAAGGCCAAAAATGTTATCACGATAAACAAAATTCATATCGTTTGATATCGATATATATTGCGATAAATGTCAAATCATTATTTCTTTCACGTTTGAAGGCTGATTTTGCTCCTGGGTGGTTAATTGTGGTTCTAAACTATCACTTATGGTCCGATCATGACAAACGCTCACCAAACAGTGGAACATTTCACAAATCTGTCTTGGGACAGTGGGAGAAAGTTTCTGAGCTGTTTTTATCAGCTGGAAAAGCACAGCTGCAATTTTTGTAATAGTCATAATTTAAGAAAGAAAATAGATTATTTTTAGCTGGTGACGAGCACTTGGCTACCCCGTTACAAATGCTAAACAAGTGGCCAACAACAGTGCTAAACTCTTTAGTTTCTCAACAACGTCAACTCGGTTCGGTAGGAAACTGCTGTCACTCCTACCACATCCATGTCAGAGCATATCACAGTATTCAGACACCAGCTAGCGACGACTGGATTTCTCTATGCTATCATAGTAGTTTAAGGGGTGAACCGCAGTATATCTGTCCTCCTTTTAGGTATGTTTAAACTGAAAGTGGTGATTTTGTGTCGTGTTTGATCTACAGTATCATCAATTCACCATGTTGTGCCGGAGCGCTGCTGTAATTAGCCAGCAGCTAAAAACAGCTAGCCTGGAGAGATGGCGCTCTCCCGCTCTCCAATGCCTCACAGCTTCCTCAGTTTACTTTCGTTTAAATCAGGGCTGTAATTTGCATGAATCCACGTCTTTCTTTCACTTTCGTTGCTTAGGAATGCACTAATACTAAAATATATATATATATATATATATATATATATATATATATATATATATATATATGGCGCTGTAACATGGCGCTGCAGACGTGATTTAACACAGCTGAAGTTGTTAGGATGTATGGAAAGAGGTCAGTTCGCTGTAGGACAGTGCTGTTACACTACTGACCTCGTCATTCACACTCGGTCACAGGAGAACAGATCACCGGTCGCTCCACTCAAACAGGGACTGTATAACTCCGCGTTTCAGCCGTTGCTGAAGTATATTTGGCGACCATTTTTTACTCGTGGCCTCCTCCCTCTGTAATCAAGTCGAAAAATACTATAAAAATTGCCTCAAAGGTATCTTACTTTGCAGATTTTGGAGGGACTGAAGTCACTGAGAAACTTTATTAGGCTACCAAATACATTACCTCCCCACACCACACACAGGCTGCGTTGTTGATCTAGGCAGATTATGAGCTTAAACATTCTGTTAAATAGCTACTGTTTCGTGGTGTTGAGCAAAATGACAGATCCGTTCTCTGAAGTCGGAGTGTTAAACCTAATTCAGGTATCTGTATGCGGATCAGATTTTAATTTCACTTGCGGTCGTTACATTTAAACTGCATAATGACTTACATGCTAATAATATTTCAATATTAAATTAATATTTACATAATGTAACGGTTACTGATAAAATTCAATATTTTTTTTCAAACATATTACAGTGTCATGCTATCAGATGATAAAGTTTGGCGTTATTAAAGTTAATGAACTCATGCTTTCAAGTGTCATTATTTTTGTGAATTTCAAGCAAGGAGTACATCGTAAACCATAAGTAAAGTGTGCAAAATTTAAATGATCCTTATTTGTCAAATATATCATTAAAAATGTCACTAAAACAGGAAATGGTATGTCATCACGGTATACAGGTACAGATGATATATCATCCAGCACTATGCTAAATGTTTAGCATGGAAATTTCAATTTATGTCTTCGAAAAGTCATGAAATTCCCCTGTTTAAAAAGTGTGCAAACCCTGCAATGATCTGAAGGTATTCAGTAATCTGTGTTTTTCCTTTGTCTCTGTTCTTCAGCAGTGAACAATGATAAATAACCAGTGCGTAGAAAAATTAAAATGGGTATCAGAACGCCATGGATCCTTTAAACAGAACATCTTTGCGGATTTAGCTATTAAGGTTTGATGCACCCTTAGTCAATGTATTTACGTTTATGCTCTGTGTAGTAAGAGTCTAGATATTTGGAAGGGACTCAGCTTAATGCAAGGCAGTTTTGTTTGTTCTTAATTAACCAGTTCAGTAGAACTTGCATGGAACATATTGGTGGTCTAGACTAGCTATTAGGGCTGCTATGTAAGTTCAGTCGACTCTGTTGAGATCTGGACAGGCGCTTCAGAGGCACATGGCGAGTTAAATTTGTCTCTGGAATTCATCCTCTGTATCTGTCGTAAATCCCATGGTGAATGTAGTTTGCCTTGGTAGCCTTTAGAAAGGCTCATAAACCCAGTCCTGCTGCAGCTGTTCTCCTCTTTCTGTCTTAATGGGTTTCTCGGCCGTGCCTGATTAATTACAGTGGAGCACTAATGAAGGAAAATTAGCACTGGTAAAGGGGTGAGCATGTTGTGACACACAGGCTGCGTTGTTGATCTAGGCTCTAGAGGGGAAGTGTAATAAAGCGGGATTTCCTCCAGGGGGAGCCAAGCTCCAGATTATGAGCTTGTCTCCGCAGCAGCAGCAGGTGGCTGCAAACATGTCTTTTTATGTGTGAAAGTTTAGTCATCAGCGTTCATGAGTCAACTCTATAACCAAAATGAAACAATATTCATTGATGTGATTGTGGATGAAATTTCAAGTCAAGTGGTCTTTCGCATTCTTTATTATAACTTTCATTATACGCTGGAACTCTATGCAGAAACGTTTTTTAGGCCACAACAGCAGCATATTACACAGGATCACATGAAGTGCAGATAGCTAAACGGTACAATAAACAGATGTGACAAATACACATTACGCAACTAGACAGGAAAGCAAAACAGTATACATAAATTGCAGTCCCATAGCAGTATTCAAAGATTATGATTAAAAGAATTTAAATTGAAGATGTGCAGTGATGATTAAGGGATAGGTGATCCGGCTACATCAGTATGTTCAGTAGTCAGACTGCCTTGGAAAAGAAGCTGTTGCGGAGTCTGGGGGTGGTGAAACAGATGTGCTGGTACCTTCTGGCAGGAAGGTGAAGAACCCATGAGAAAGATGGTAGGGGTAGTCCAAGATGCTATTCGTTTTGCGGGTGCAGAGCTTGTGGTAGGACGTGTCAGTGTCGAGACAGTGCCGTTCCTATACAGTACCCATACACTCATCCACAGACAGTGAGACAGCTGGTCAGAATACACTCAGTTGCTCTCAATACTGGAGGTGGTGCTGCCAATCCCGACAGACTCAGATGCTGTATATTCCTCCAAATCACTTGAATCATTGTATATAGCCGCCTCTCTGAACATGTTCCAGTCTGTGTGCTCAAAACAGTGCTATGCTAAGATGGCTCACTCAGACCAAGTTCTCTCCTGATTCAGAGCCGGTTTGGCAGGCTTTAGCAGAGGTTTGTGTGCTGAATTTAACGTACCAGAGATATTGACAGCATCTCTGTGCAGCCTTGTACACGCTGTGGATATTGGTGTAAACGAAGTCTATTGTGTTTACAAGTCAAGAAAACAATGTGCTGGTAAAAATTTAGGCGTCTTTGACTTGAGATTTGCATGATTTAAGTCCACAACGGCAATAAAAAATGCATCAGGATGTGCAGTCTTTAAGATGTTGATAGCTCCATAGAGTTTGTTCAGCACTGTGATAATGAGCATGGTGGTCAATTTTATTGGGGCTTAAGACTGTTCTGGTCTTTGCAATCATAAAGTTCCCCAGTGCTGAGCAGTAGTCAATACTACCATGACATTTCTGCACCATTCTTCATTGGTATAGACCCACAGGTCTTACCAGACAGTGCTGCTATCCTGTTGGCCCAGTGCTCGGTTAGCCCCGCTAGCTGGATGGCTGTGTCTCGAATGCTGTCACTGAGCCGCGTTTCCATCAACACACAAATTCAGCGGTACTGGAGTTCTTGCTGGGGAGTTAGCTGTAGTCTGAGGTGGTCCAGTTTTTTATTGAGAGAGCAGGCATTGGAGAGAAGAGATGGGAGAGCCAGGTGGCTAGGTATAGCTTTTAGCTTAGCGCGGATGCCTGAGCACTTACCCCACTTCCCTCTGGAAGACTGTTTTTGACTTTTCCTCTCCTGTCACTGTCCTGAGGCCTGGTTCAGTTAGTAGCCTGAAGATGATGCGACTTGTTTTTGGTTTTTACAGCTCTCTGTCAGCTGTACGTGGCTGGCTATGACCGTTCAGAGAGGGCAGTGGTTTATTTAATGAGAGCTGAAGTAAAATAGTGGTGTCCCTGTTCCCAAGCAATTTGTTTTTAGCTTTTTAACAAAATTTTGTGCTCTTATGGTATGTAGGACTTCACATTTAACCGCAAAGGGTGCTTTAGATTGTTTGTTTTATAACAATTTAAAAAACAGAAATACTACAAAAATATCAAGTTTTGTCTCGGGTAGTGTGCTTTCTGTCTTATCACTTACAATACTGTGTAAAGTTCACTTGTCTTAAAATTACAGCAAACAGTCCAACAAGTCCAGGTCAAGCTCTGTCAGATTTATAAGACATCCTTTTTGCATTGTGTAGCAGCGCTTAGGAACCATGGGTTCACTAGCTTTTTATTAATGCAAAAGATCATCTGAAACCAAGATACATATGGAGAATATCATGATATTGAATTTCAGCAAAATTGCCCAGTCCTACGTTGTCATTTGTACCACAATGTTGTCCTCTTATAGTTTTAAAATGTTCTCAGAAAAGTGTAATTTTGTTAGTTGTTTATATTGATATAATTACACTTAACTGTGCTTTATGTGAAAGTAGTTTAAAGTAACTTGATGTCCTTCTTCCATAGATGCTACAAGACTGTCCTAAAGCCAGACGAGAGGTAGAGCTCCACTGGCGAGCGTCCCCCTGTGCTCACATTGTCCGTATCATTGATGTATACGAGAACCTTTACCAGAGCCGCAAGTGCTTACTCATCGTCATGGAGTGGTGAGTCACCCATTTACCCCTCTGCCTGGACTGCATCATCATATTTGTGCCTTTATCGCAATGAGTGAATGTACTCAAAGTGTGCATCCCCAGAAGACCCTCAGACACATGTCTGTAGCATCAGAAACACTCCACTGGCATAATTTCTGATTTTCATTGAGCATGGACTTTAAGTGCATTTGTTATTTATCATGTCTATATAGTACTTAACATATGAACTAGTTACGTTCGTGTTTACAAGGCATGATGCAATTTTTGAAATATTGAATCATTTAGATACCTTATCATTCCCAAGACAACTCATCTCCGGTGTTGTGATGCAGTCAGGAGGTTTCACTGTGCCTTCTGTGTAAAACGGGTACTAGCAGGTGTCTGGAACATTAAGTTATGGTAATTACATGGCTACGCTCTGCTCTTAGCTTGAGTGATCGGAAAAATTCATGTATAGAAGCACGCTTACTGAGACGGTGACCTCTTCTCCATATTATACACATACTGAGCAAGATTATTCTTAGTCACAAACGCCCATTTCACATGTTGGGTAAGGCCGTGACGTAACTTGCATCAGCGTATAAACCGTTTTCCTCTTTATTTCTGTCCCTATGTTTTTAATGCATGTACTGCATTATTTTGATGGGCTGGAATGTGTTAAGTCAGGCATCCAAGTCTCGTGCAAGGTTTCAACATGACATTTACGCAGCAGCCCTGCTGGCTTTAGGTATTTCACACTTGTACGCACAGGCGCATTTTGTGTTTTCGTTATTACCTGACTTCCCTCAAAGCTGTTGACACCTTTTCTTTCTCTTCCACTTAGAGGGAGGTGAAAATTACATATCGCACTTTTCTATTTCACCGGTTTACTTTCTAAAAAGCAGATGTTTTCTCACGTTTGCTGATCTCTAAGTCATGATAACATCTCTTGGCTGAAGGAGTGCACTGGCAAACTAAAGCGTGATTCACACCTTTAAGCGATGCTTTTGTTGGGAAGCATAATTTGATTCTTCTATGACTCATTTAGGGATGTTTTTGTTCATTAGGAATAAATGTAGTCTGGCTGTAAAAATGTACTTTCTAACTGTAAAAAGGTGAATATTATGATATTTCTGAAAGTAACATGTAGGCTTTGGGAATTTGTTTGTTTGTTTGTTTGTTTGTTTGTTTGTTTACCTTTGTGCAATAAGGTTTTCATTTTAACCTATGTACAACAATTGCAAAACCTTTGATTCATGAGGTACTCAAGATAATTACTGAGCCCTTAATGCAGTGTGATGGGTTTCTCAGAGTAAGGAATATAGAATCAAAAGCCCAGTCTTTAGGACTAGGATTGAAAACCATTGCTGTGTATTTTTCTCATCAGAGTTTTGCTCAACTCTTGTTTCTCTCCCGCTGCTTGCTGTTAAACTATGCTGTGAGCATCTCTGGCCAGAAACAGAGAAAAAGTATTTGGGGTAAAGTTGCGTACTTGTTAGTTGGAAATGTGAGTTTTTGAACTATTCATTTAGGTTCAGCATTTCAGTAGTTATTGTTTACATCTGTAGTTGTCTTTTTCTACTATGTTTCAGCATTCTGAGGAGAGAAAGGCTTTTTAGTCAGCGACTGATGCAGAGCTGCATATGTTTATTTCTTTTCCCTTTATTTATTTATTTATTTATTTATTTATTTATTTATTTATTTATTTTTCTCTGTGTGCCAAAATCTGAGCTTTCCTAACTTTATCTGCAGCAAGATTCCTCAAAGCTCCTGTATATGGAGCACAGGAATCTGCTGTATCAAATAGATGACGCATCCTCATTTCGTCTTCACCCTACATCTTCGCGTGAGGGGGAAATGACCGTAAAGCGATACTAGGGGAACTAGGGGACTGGCAGGTCCTCCCCCGTGTGGGTGTCTGCTGTCACCATAAGGCTTAGGGCACGCCTTGCATTAGAATCATGTTATACATCTGAGTCATCATAAATGACTAATAAATGAGAACAAGAGAAAAAGGAGAATTGGAAACCCCACTTCAGCTATATTGCTTGCGTGCATCTCTTGCTTCCCTTTTGGGTCTTTTGCTTATTTTTCACATTTGGGATATGTCAAGTTTTTAAATTTCATGGGTTTCTTCTTTGCTAAGGAATCAATCATTGAGCTGTGGTTGTATTACCAACTTGCAGACTGGTTGGTAAAAGGAAAAAATTATAGCAACCACTGAACAAAATGTAGTGAGCAAAAATTTTTTTTTCTTTTCTCTCAAGATATGTAAGGTGGATGTGGTACCTGTGGTTAACAGGCACCCATTGCATAATAATCATTTAAAAGTGTTTAAGATTCCTCACTTTTAGCTGTCACGGCAGAAATATAGATTGGAGCTTGAGTGATTACTCTCAGTGGTTAACAGTTAATGTCTCGCAGGCTTCCATGAGGCCATCTACTACAAGTTCAAACAGATTACAAGAAATCAAACCAAAATCAAGTACTCAGCACATGAGTTGTAACAGGAAACAGAATGTGGAGGTCATACGAACCGAACACAGTGCAGGTAGAAATGGAAACTGCTAACTTTGTTTTTTTTTTTAGATTTGCTTAAAGTTCTTTTTTCCCTCTGGGAGTTTGAAATCATAAGTATAAAACAGAATGTCCTGGTTTGGTGGAAAATTGCTACAAATGACAGAGCCTTGACTTAAAAGCATAAAATTAGATAGTGGAATTTATCACTGCCTAAAAATAAGCTTATGGTTGTTATATGAAATACTACTAGCTGAAAATGTTTCAACCGATTTAAGCAGTTTAACCTAGTGTATTTGTAATAGCTGGACTTGATGTGTAGCTGACGTGGAGGTAACTTACATATTCCCAAGATCCTTTTTTCCCCCAAATTTGCTGGTCCTGAGTTTACTGGTTGGTTCTATGCTTAAACAGAAATTAGTGCTGACCCAGAACTCTTCTAGCATGATAGCTAGCTAACCTTTGCCCTGCTTTACAGGTTTAAAACCTGCCAACAAAAATGAATGTAGCCTGAATAATTTTACAGTGTCAATATTACATGTTTAGTAAGATGTGTGTACGTAAAATGTAAGGTTAGGTACTAATAGCTTGACAATATACAGTAACTACTTTGGATCTCCCGGTCCAAACCAAAGCTTTGGATTTAGGCTGTCAAGCCTGACCCTATTCCAGTTTTCCTGATCCTGTCTGTCTGTTTGTCTGTCTTTCTGTCTGTCTGTTTGTCTGTCTGCTGTATTCACATATGTTACATAATGGTGCCTATAATGGACATGATCTAAAGCCTGCACCAGTCATTCATGTTTAAGTTAACAAGTGGTCTAAATGTCTGCTATCTGGAACGGTTTTGAAATGGATAAAGAAAGAAGCACATACAAAATACCTTGGAGTGTATTGGAGAAACATTTTCCTTTACTGACTGGTTTACCAGGTACTTTACTCATGTTAGAGCGCAGTGTACTCACAACACTTTAATGTGGTTATTTTTACTTGAATATTCCCAAAAAAAAAGATAAAATTTACTGCAGTGTCAGTATCCATGCATTTATACTGTCTTCTCTCCTGTGTCTTGTTCTGTCTTGAATTATGAGAGATGAGCTGTCAGGCATGACTGGTTGATATGTGGTAGTTCCAATGTATTGATTGATAAGCTCCTAGGACATCAAATCTTTAATCATTTATGTTGTTTTCCTGGTCTGTTAGAATTGGTCACTTCTGGTGAACGTTGTTTATCTATTTACCACTGATCCTCCAAATGACAGATTTTGAGCACTTGTCTTTTAATAGTTGTGATTTACTATTAACAGTTGCTTTAAAGATAATATCTGTACAGGACAAAACATTTGCCTTTTTTCTCCACCAGCTTGATCTCACAAAGCATTGTTTTTTTTTGTTTTTTTGTTACTTAATATAATTTCGTGGTCGCTTATTTTTTAGTGTTTTGCCATAATTTGTTGATAAATATCAGTTTGTACAGGCAGTACAGAGAGGTCTTTTCATGCGCAAGTTTAGCCTCTTAGATGTAAACTGGAACACCTGTTTCCTTTCTTTTCTTGTCTGGATTGAGAAGAGAATTGAGATTGGCTGACTATAGACTTGCGCACCATGTTTCCAAGTGATGTTGAAAGTGGTAAAACGTGTTGTGGTTTTTTAGCCCCTTACCCATGTCATGACATTTCTGTATTCAAATGCTTTATGCGTTTTTCTCTCTTTGTGTCAGCTGTGTGATGATTTCACTGGAAACCATCTATAATTCAAGTTTAATGGAGAAAATGAGACTTTCCTCACAGTCAACAAGAATGTTTTTAACAAGAATTTTATTCCTCACTTTAGTATTGCTGAGGTGCCTGACAGATTGAAATTGTATACCTGCAGATTCCCTGATAACAATTTTTTTTTTATTCTTATGCTGATCTCTCTTACAGTAAGAAATAAAGGCTGATAGACACACATTTCTGTGCATTTAAGTGATGGGCTTAGGTGTAATTTTTGTCCTTGTGCACTGAAGTATTTTGGAATCCTTGAAAGGCTCTGCATAGTTTATTGTGCAGTTAAGTCCCTATCTTTTCTTACTATTTTTTTAATAAATATTGACTAAAACCAAAATAATCAGTAGATTACTCAATTGCTAATATTTAGTTTGATTTTAGCACTTCAATTCAGCTCCTAGCAAAGCAATGTTTAAACATAGAGAAATGTTTTTTTGGTTAAAAAATACACAGTAAATAAATAAATGATTAAGCCATTTATTATAATGTGCAAATTTGGAGTCCCTATCTCTTTCAGTGTTGCTGTCTCGGTCTCTATGAATGAGCATTCAAAGCTTGATGACCGAATTCAATTCTTCTCAACTGGCAGTCTTCCAAGAAGGACAGCCCACCCAGCCGGTCCTTGGTTCACACTTATGGGTGGTTTATACAGATGAAAACCACACTGATAAAGGGGGGGGGTGGTTTGGTGTTGCATATGAAGACGCCCCCTGATTGTGGTTTTGTTTTTTGTAGCTTTGCCTTAGTAAGATTTTCTTATTCTGAACAACCCTTTCATTATGGCTTTAGGTTGTAGTTCAGCTAGGTTGCCCTGTAACAGTAATCAGCAGGCATGTGGGGTTTAAGAGGTGACTGCTGTGATAGTAGTTTAAGTTGTGGATGCCAGATTTGCTGTTTTAGAAGTAGCACAGATCCCTTTTAGATTCTCATAAACTGCCATGTCTCTTTTCTCTGAAGAGTGGGTGTTCCCTGTAGTTTTAAGAGGACATGCTGACAAGTGCACAAATGTGTTAAAAATGACCCATAATAACTTCATAGCTCACTCCATAGAAAAGCCAAGCCCTTGTATAAGAGGTCATATGTTCAGGTTTTTTTTATTTTATTTAACAGATTCCATGCCTTCCGCCCAGTGACTGCTGGGATAGGCTCCAGCACCCCCGCGACTCAGAAGGATAAGCGGTTTAGAAAGTGTGTGTGTGTGTGTGTGTGTGTGTAAGTGTGTGTGTGTGTGTGTGTGTGTGTAACAGATTCCATGTGAATTTTTGCCTTTTCCTTTTTTAAATGCTCATTTCTTTGCATTAATAATAATAATAATAATAATAATAATAATAATAATAATGAAGTATACCATGATTTTATATTTATCTTTCACACACATGCACATGCACGCACACTCACCCACACAAAAATTTGAGACCACACTGAAAATGTGTTGTTTAGTTCCAGGTTAAAATAAAAAACAAATAAAAAAACACAACATTTAAGAATCTTGTATATTTTAAAACAAAGAAAAGTTGTGACAAAATGAATATTCAAAATTCTGCACTATTTCTAGCTCGATATTCAAATAGAAGCATATTTGTGAAATTGATCATGTTACAGTCCTTGTCCAAAAAGGTCACATTTTTTTGGTCTTATTACTTCTGTTGAAACACCTGTTGAAATGACTCTCAGGTGGATTTGATGTGCTGATCAGAGGCTGTTGCACAAACTTATGGAGTCTATGCCAGCTTGAGTGCACACTGTCCATAAAGCAAAAGGGAGACGTACTAAGACATTCTGAAATTTATGTAAACATTCAAAGAATTCACACACATCACTCAAAAAACTCAAATGCTGTAAATATGCTGATTAATGTGTTGGTCTTTTGCAGCATGGATGGAGGGGAGCTGTTTAGTCGGATTCAGGACCGAGGGGACCAGGCGTTCACTGAGAGAGGTAGTGTTGTGCCCTTCTTAAAAACTTCTATTGTTAGCACCAAAGGTGGTTACTAATCCCTCTCTTTTTTTGTCTTCAACCACTATAGAGGCCTCAGATATTATGAAGAGCATAGGAGAAGCCATCCAGTTCCTTCACGGCATAAACATTGCACACAGAGACGTCAAGGTGAGAACCTTAACCTATCCTTGACTTGCTGGCGAAACAGTATGGCTTATGCCCTGTCCCACAGTCATCCGTGGCTGGGAGTCTAACAAAGCACAGTTGGCCTTGCTCTTCTTGGGTGGGTAGGATAGCCTTCTCTCTCCCCCATGACTAAGCCTAATGCTAGCCAACTGCCGTTTCGGTCAGCTGAAGTAACAGATTTGGTGATTAGGGTTCTCCAAGTGCGTTCAGCTGTCCAGTGAGGTTTTGATAGCGGCACTCCTTAAAGACGCGGTGGCTGGAAACAATATATGAGCTAACCTGTGGAAACGTGTTAGCCTTTACCTCACAGCTTGGTGGTGTCGTGTGATAGGGGGAGATTTAGCTAGTGGGTGTAATTGGCCATGATGAAATTGAAGTGTGAGGGGGGTAGTGGGTAAAAATCTAAAAAATAAAATTTTATACTGCCTAATAGATGACATTGAACTCAAAGGCATCTGTTATTGAGTTAAACACACATCCTACAGTAAGATGGAAGAATCCACTACTTTCTTTATATCCACATGGCTGGAACTGTTCTTACTGGTTGCCTCTGTTTTTCAGCCGGAGAATCTCTTGTTTACCTCAAAAAGGCCCAATGCCTTTCTCAAACTGACGGACTTTGGGTTTGCCAAGGAGACAACCACACACAATTCACTGGCCACTCCATGCTACACTCCCTATTATGTCGGTAAGGGTCATGGTCTCCAAAAGCTCACATTGTTCAGTCCATTTTTCCATTTCAGTGCTTGCTTGTGGTATTTGCATCTTCTGTGATCCTCTCACTTTTTAAGTGTAATTGCTCTTTCTTTTTGATGTTGTAGCCCCTGAAGTTCTTGGTCCAGAAAAGTATGACAAGTCCTGTGACATGTGGTCTTTGGGTGTCATCATGTATATTCTGTAAGTGATTTTGTCTCATATGCTGTCTTTCATAAATTTTTTGTGTTTGTTTAAAGGATAATTGATGACTTTTCCCCCCCCTTTTGTTTTGATGTTTTACATCATTGGAATTTTAGGCTCTGTGGTTACCCACCTTTCTATTCTAACCATGGGCTAGCCATATCTCCAGGGATGAAGAGAAGAATCCGCATGGGACAGTATGAGTTTCCCAATCCTGAATGGTCTGAAGTCTCAGAAGAAGGTGCGTGTGCGTGCGTGCGTGCGTGTGCGTGCGTGTGCATGCGTGCGTGTGTGCGCGTTTAATCATAAAACCTATAAACTTATTTATTTGTATTTATTGAAGAGTAGAGGTTAACTGGCTGCTAATGTTGGTTTTCCGTTGCAGCCAAGCAACTTATTAGGATGTTGCTGAAGACGGAACCCACACAGAGGATGACCATCACAGAGTTCATGAATCACCCCTGGATCAATGTAAGAACAGTCGTTTATACAGTAGACCTGGGCAATGTCTAAAAATAATTAGCACAGTGTTCTCTAGTTAAAAAATTGTGATTATACACACATGCAGCAGCTGTTTATATTCAATTTTAGTGTCTATGCTTTTTTATAACACAAACTATTTAAAATATTTAATAAAAATATGTAAATTATATTAAAAATATGAAATATTGTGATACAGAGTAGCTCAACATCTTTTGGTAACTACTGCACCTGATGATATAATAAACGTTACTGCAAATGTTCTTCTGCTGCATATTCGTGGTGAGGTACATGCTATTACCACTCACTGCTGGAGAAACTTTAGACTGCAAGTAATTTCCAAAGCCGTGCGAACATACTTTCAACGTTAAAAACAAGAAGTTTTCTTCTGTTACAGCGGCATTTTGATAATTCACCTAACTGTAATTCACACTCAGTGACAGTGGCGAGTTTACTCTGCCAGAGCTTTAAAGGCCCCATTTATTACTCAGTGTTTAAGAGTAAATGTGAATAAAACATGGTGTACATTTTAGCTAATATTATTTATTACATTTTTCTGAGAACACCGACCATAGACAAGGATCGTTGGACTTTCTCTCCAGGTTAAAGTTAATTTAGCTGCTCTACGCTAACTTCCAGTCATTTTAGCTTGGTTGTCTTACTGCAGCGGGTCACTTTGAGGCAGGCTAAAGTTCCAAAGCATGTCAGTGAGCCCGCTTACTTCATAAATGTGAACCCCAGGTTCCAAACGTACTTTGCAAGCTATTTAATGGTAAATTAGTCCTCTCTAATTCTTTCTGTTTTTTACCACAATGACGATTATCGTCTTTTACACATCGCCTTCGGGTTACTTGTCCATCATCAAAGATATTCGATTACATCGCCCTGTCACCCAGGTCTAGTATACAGACTAAAATTCTGCAATTAGTGCAGTGTAATGGTCGGTCTAAATGAGTGAATGAGCATTTCTAACCCATGATATATGCGTGTGGTCACCCAGCAGTCAATGGAAGTGCCACAGACCCCCCTCCACACAAGTCGCGTGCTACAGGAGGAGAAGGATACTTGGGAGGATGTCAAGGTAAGCTTCTTCTGCCTTAGATTGTACTGTTGTGGACAATACTCTTCAGTTGTCATCATAACGTTTTCTTCATGGTGTGGTTTAATTGTTCTTTTGCTGTATTGCGTTTGGCAAATCAGTCCTCTGCTGTGTACTCAAGGGTATTTTGGGGGGGGGGCAGTTGTTTGTCTGTTTCTGCATGATTATTCATTATTTCTTAATAGATTAATTTCACTGATGCCACTGCCTTTTTGTGTATCACAGGAGGAAATGACAAGTGCCTTGGCCACAATGAGAGTGGACTATGAGCAAATCAAAATCAAGACCATTGAGGACTCCTCCAATCCATTGCTGATAAAGAGGAGGAAGAAGGCCAACATGGCAACTGAAAATCAGACACCTGCCTGCTGAGGACACAGTGTTTGCCCACCTTTCCTTTATACACGTGTACACACACACACACACACACACACACACACACAAAAGACGTACGTTCATACATTCAAAAGGTTGTAAAAAGGAAGCAATAATTCATGAAAATGGGAAAGTGAACATGAATGGAATTTTCCTTAAGTTTGTTTTGATTCTAATCTTTTATCAATTTTACTGTTTGTTTAAAAAAAAAACACATTTGTTTTTATTACTCAGACTTTGTAACTAATCAACCACTCTATACCCTGAAAAAGGGTTATGAAATTTGGAAAGAGATTATGAATAAGAAGGAGCTAATGTCTGTAGTAGCTTATTTTGTGGTGTCAGAGCAATTACTGTTTTTTCACATGGTATTTTGGGTTACCTGAACATTGAAGAGAAGGAACATTTTGTCTTTCTCGATTTCATTATTATTTTTCCTTCCTTTTTTTTGTTTTTTAATCAATCGACAAAGCCATTGGTCACGCACACTTTTTTCACTGCAATTTAATTTCATACTACTCATTCTTATGTTATGGGATGGACTTGCAGACTGAATTGCACTGTTTTAATATGGGTTACCCTTGCATAGGTATTTCTTCGGTTCTTGTGACAGAAAGACCTGAGGAACTTGAGCCTTATGCAGGTTTTCTCACAAAATGCCCCTCCCCCATTTTCTCAGAAACACCCCTGCACTTGTATGTTGTGTGTTTAAAAGGCTAGTTCCAAAAATGTAATGCTGTTGTCATCACCACCATGCAGATAGAGCAAATTTCTGAAATGACTTGTCGAATGTAGACAAACTGTTACTTACTGTGAAGCCCTTTGAACGTCTCTCACTGACGCTTGAGGTTCAGTCACTCAGAGCGTCCGGATCTTTAAGAGCTTCAGATTTCATTATTAGTGGCCTGTGTTGCTGAGGTCTGGTTTGACTGTGGAGGGACCTGGCATCTGTTCTCCCATTGGAGTCACCCATGGATTCTTGCCCAGTCCTTTACACAAGGAAGCCCCCCTCTTCAACACATTTTATTTGTTTTTTGACTGTTTTGTTGATTCTATGCTTTATGCACTCGCTATGGGTGTATTTTGATCCGCCTTGTCACTGAAATCGCTATGCATTTTGTTTCCTCAGCCAACCCCTCCTAAAAAAAAGTATTTTAAAGAATGTTGGTCAGTGTTTGTTTAGAAATATCTGGGATGCAGTACATGGGCTGCACATTTTACACTCTCTGCCCCTAAATAGTGAATTGCAAAGCCATTTCTTAGGAACTCAAGTTGACCTGCCAAAAGTTCATTGTAACTGAAGGTCTGTTTATGAGTATGAATGGACTCTGATCGATGGGCAGTTTCTGTTAGAGCATAGCTGTGTTTTTTGCTATGGTAGTGGATTTTTTATGTCCAAGATTAGCTTGCATTACCCAATGAGAACAGCTATGTAAAGACAGCTATGTGGATGATAATCAAAGAAATATATCCTTTGCCCTCAGGCCCAAGTGTTACTGTAGTTTTATGTGCCCTTAAGTGATGGGGATCAGGTATGAATTGACACAGACCAACATCCTGCAGCAGGTCAGCTGGTTAGATGGTCAGAAGCCTCCAGCAGACTAGCATTGCTGCAGTCTGTAGCACTGGTAACTGTGGTGGTGTCTCTTTTAAATCTGTCGCCTCAAATTTCAGTACAGTTCAGTGTGTTGAAAGTCCTAAGTGGAAGCAGTGGACTGCCAACTCATGATCATCCAAAGGATTTCTGATTATACTTATTCCTCAGTCTGGAAATTTAAAGAATGTTTTTTTTGATATTCACTTGTTAATTTTTAAACCATTCTTTCTCTTTTTATTTCCTCTACACAAAGATTGCTTTTTTTCCTCTGGCACAAATTTGACAAATAGGATGTAGAGAGTGTTGCCTGAGCCCCAGGTTTACTTGCAGGGGAGTCAAATGTATTTTCAGTGTTCAGCTGCTGTACCTAAGTCTTGGTCTGCTTCAACTTTGGATTAAAACACATAAAAACAAACCTGTCTTTGGTGCCATGTTTAAATGTAAGACTCCCAATGTGTGCTATGTTGATTTATGCTCTGTAATGCTTGATTAGGTCTTTGATAAACAAAAGAAGTGTTTGTACATGCTTGATGTGTTTTGTGCCTAAAATGTTGTTTATGCTTCCTAATAATTCCATACAATGAATTCTTGAGTAGGGTTGTTGGAAGGTTGATGTGAGCCATTCTCCATATCACGGCCAGTACCGATTGTCTGGCAATGATGAGAGTAACCTGGGGTGTTCTTGAGGTTATGAGAGTAAACTGAGGTGAGGTTTTTGGGTTTGGCATTTTTGCAACTCAACCTGAGACATTGGCAGTATGTCAAAGCGTGTCATGGTTTTGCTCTGATGAGGTTTGAAACGGAGGTAGAAAATGCACTTAAAAGGAGCTCTGATTATTTAACCTTGGCTCTTTTTTTAATGTAACCACTGTCATTGACACATTTGATAGTTAATTTATTTGCTCTTTAGTTTGAGTATTTCTAAAGGGGCTGGTCATTATTGTTTAGATCAATGATTTTCCTAGTGGCCTCTTCCCTGGACAGTGTCAGCACTCCTAACTCAAAGTGCTTGATATTTACCTGATCAGTAGGATTTGGTGTATTGGGACAGGGAGTACTTGGATCTTTGCAGGGCAGTGGGTTCCATTGATTGCAGTTGAGAACCACTAGTTTATGCAGAGGTCATGATCCCTACCCCTTGGTGATACATCCCTAATCCACTTTATAAGTCTGTGATCTCTAGTTGTTCTACAGGATAGATTGAGCCATTGCCTCGCAATGCGTGGTTTCATCACTGTTAAATTGTGGACAGTTGAAACTTCCGCAGGCCATGAGTTGTGACAACTTATATGTTTGTTCCTGGTTACTGTTTAACAGTGCCATTTTTAATCTGGCCCCTTTTTCATCTAAAATGCTCCACAGTTCACCAGTTATGCTGATGGTTGACTCTGAGGTTTCCATCCTGACCCTTTGCTTTGTGTTTGTGGCTGATTCTAAGGTCAGCGACTTAATGTGCCATAATTTTAGATCATGGCATCATGGCTTGTTAATAGTTTGGCTAAAATTTCCACCAGTAATATTTGCATAAGTTTGTGGAAGTTAAGCAGCTGACGGCAAACATGCGCTGAAAATGCAGTAGTAGTAGTAAGCACTCTAATATGCAAACTTGCTGGTTTTATTTTAAAGTGACTGTGCTCTTCTGTAAGGAGCTGATCTGTAGAGAATTTAATTGCCTGTTGTTGCTGCTGGGGTCTTAATCATGAATTTTTAAAAAAGATGGGTGCCTGATCCTGGTCATCTACTGTGCTGATCCAGCACACCTAATCCAGTTCATGAAGGCCTTCAGGAGCATCTGAATATTATGTTAAAACGAACCTCTCCAAGGAAGTTGGGCTCTCCTGGCACTACTGAAGACAAGACTCTGAACAGCACCCTGGAAGTAATCTCTTCATCTCCTGCTGTCTTTTTGCTTGATAGCAGTTCTTGGCTTGACTGGAAATGAACTGCTTCTGAAACAGTTTTGTTTCCAGAAGAAGGCAATAGTACTTTCATTGTTGGTAAACACAGCCAGGTAATCGAACATCTGTACGACTGATGTGTGCCGAAAGGAAGCGATGGCCAAGCTGTGAAATGGAAACTCGCGACTAGGCATAATTTATCTTCACTGTTCATCATCCTATCTTGTTCATGCTACACTTTTGATTTAAAAAATTTTTTTTTTCAGTGTGCATTGTTTTGCTCGATGACAATACAAAGCATCACTGGGGTGGAAAAATACAGAGAAATGTAAGTGAAAGTATAGAATACAGAATCTTAGTTAAAAGTGGAAGTATGGGGCTAAAAATAAATGAGTGGAAGTAAAAGTATCAATATATAAACATACTGAAGTTTATAAAGTATAAAAAATGATTGTTTTAACAAGTTTTCTTCCTCATACAAAGACATTTGCATAGTTTTGTTCAGTTTCATTTTACAATGATGGTTTGGTTAGATGTTTTAATAAAAGCAAATTCAAATGCACAAGAACTCAACTGACTGGCAAGAAAAAGAATTCTCTCAGGCTTTGTGACGAGTACTTTGGAAATCCAAATAAAAATGTATGTTATTTCTTCTCTTAGAAATGTAGTTGAGTACAAGTATTAGTTTCAGTAATACTCAAAGTATTTTGCAGCATTTCTCAATGACGTGTAACAGAAAGAAAACAGAACATTTCAATGGTGAACATTCACAAAACGTTCCTGCTTGGATCACCATGGCTTTGGAAGCCGTTGAGCAGATTAACTGAGTAAAGTTTGGATCTGTATGAACTGAGTAAAGTTTGGAATATGAAACTGCATAGTATGCATAATTCTGTTCCTGTGAATGGTGCTTATTCATTCACAATTTAGTCCTTTCTTTACTCAGAAAGATCACTATCTGTCTGTCTCGGAGATACTGAGAACTTCGCCTTTGTATGCACTTTCTGAATTTCTTTTATTCCTGTCGGTTTCTCCAAATGTGCTGTCTGCATGCAGCTGCAGTGTGAAGTGCAAGCGCTGAGCAATAGAAACTAGCCCAGAGCAGAAGATCTTGCTGTACGAGGGCTGGTGCAATTAGAGTTGTAAAAAGGCTTGCTCCTTAGACTAGTTTGTTCTTTTTGTGACTTTTTGGTCTAAAATTTAAAAAAAATGTATGTATGGTAACTGGAAAGAGAGGTGTGAGCAACAGCAAAGCAGTCTAGGCCACGTGTCAGACTCTAGTTCTTTCAGGCCGCAGCACTGCAGATTTTAGCTGCATTACAAAAAGTACACTTGCAGTCTAGGTAGCTGTTACGTCTAGCCCGCAATGTTATTTAAGTGTATTGCAACCAGAAGGATCCTTCTAATACAGACAAGAAATGCAGCTGACATTTTGACAGTTCAAGTATTCATTGCCTGCCAAAAGCTCATACATGTTAAAATTAGTTTATCAGTTCCCTAAAATGTAAACGATCAAAACTCAGCGTGTTTGTGTTGAAAGTGCTTCACATGTTCTACTGCACCTTGTTTAAAAATGCCAGTAAAATGTGTAGTACAATGTACCATATGGTATTTCGATAGCTATTTACAGTTTGGTTATAAGTAGGTAATGCCATGGTAAGATTATAGTAACTAGTTGTACTGGAACAGAAAAAAAATTCTAAATTTCTAGTTGTTAATGAGTAATACATTAAGTGTAGTTCAGATAAAGAAAGACAACTGTTGTATAAAGGTGTGGTGTGTTTATTGTTCTCCATTACTGAACAAATTTCTGAGCCTTTTATCAGATTTGTAATAGAGTAACAGTATTTTGTTAACAGGCACGATTCTGTGTAATCTGAGTATGTTTACCTGTTTATGGGTAACAACACTTGGCTGTCAGTGGGCCTACATGTAAAAGCAATAGAAAAACTATGGGTGATTAGGGTGCAGTAATTTAGTCATAATTTCAGTCCAGTTAGCCACATTATGTTGAATTTTTAATGTTACCTGATGTGAGATACTGTAACAGAAAACAACCTGGAAAGACGTTTGCATTTTACAGCTGTAATACCATTTAGTTTACTGTAATTACAGCGTGTGACTACTGTATGTATGTATGTATGTATGTATGTCATACTGCACCTGACCATTAAAATACATACTAGGCAAGAACTACTTCTTTGTTTTTGGGGTAATAACTCTAATATTGTAAAACCCTATAATGATTTAAAAGAACTGAAGTAATATGTCGATTAAACAGATGTTGCATTGTAAGAGCTGGACACTTTACAACTATACTTATGGTTTAAAAAAAGCTACAATGATTGTTTAGTATTTATTCGCTTTTACGGTAAATATTACTAATTTATTCATTTTTATTATTATGAACTGAGAAGTTAACATTTTATTTATGGTCATTTGTGTTTGACATTTTTTCAGTTTTATTACCAACTAGTTACCGCTTTAATTTCTAAATTATTTTTTATTAAAAAATATATAATTGTCATTTTTAGACTAATACAACTTTTTTCCCCACTTTTTCTATGATTTTTTTCCATTTTATGCATGTTTTAGCATGTAGTTTTTAGGTATGTACAACTTCATCATAATATTGCCACATCATTACCCACCTATCTGTAAAGTGCTGCTGCTATTTCTTTAGTTATGTGTCATCTTAAGAGATGTTTATTAATGTCTTTAGCTTGCAGGATAACATTTCATTACAAAAAAAAATGCATGTTTTGGTCAGCAGCTTGACATCAACAGTATTTTCTCCAAATTCCGCTTGACTCCTTTCAAAACAAACAAGCCTATTGCCTTGATTTAGCATTCTGCCTTATTAAACACACCTGATTCCACTCATCAGCTAATTGGCAAGGCCTTCTTAAGCTGACCTCGGAGCATAAGAAGAGGGAAGATGATGATCTCCTCAGAGCTTTTGCCTGGAAGGAATCTCGTTTGATTGATTGAAGATGCTAAACCAGCAGAACAGAATTATACACAAATATTAATATTAAACACAAAAAGGGAACTAGGAACTTGGTGTTTAAAAAGAAAAAAGTAGGTTCCTTTTCTCAGATGTTATTGTGAATAAAAGTTAATCATCAAAGAAAAATATCAAAATTTTGCTTAAAGCTGCATTATGCAAGTCAGGAGGGAAACAAAACATGCTAAAATATAGTGTCTGTGCTGCTGTGAGTCACCCAGTAAGACCTGAAATAATTTAAAAGTCAGAAGTGTTGGGTTGGTGATTTTTCAGATCAAGTCCATACGTCTTTATGTAGTAACATTACACACAGACTCATTAAGTTCCGGCTCAGTTTTTAGGGCTCAAATGCGTAATCAACGTTATACTGATAAGGCTATGATAGTAGTAGTTGATAGTTAGCTTACATCATTGAAAGGCATGTCCTTCACCAAATTTTGACTGAGTTGTGTTTGAATACTTTTTCAACGCGCTCGCAATTGTCAGATTCATCCATTCGAGGAAGGGGTTTGAAGCACAACTGATGTTCAAAATGTTCTTTCTCTTGTTGTAATTACGCATTTAAACCAGTGAAAGGAGCTGAATCAGTATAGCCATTTAAAACCCACTTCTTAGTGGCTAAAGTCCAGTTTAAAAGAGCCAGCTGTATAATCTGTGAGCACAAGTTGGGTCTACCCAATGTGTAGCTCACACCTGGACAAGAAAAGCATTTTAGAAATAAGTTTTAGCATCATTTGATATTTCATGTGTATCATTTCGTCATTTATGCTTATTGTTCTGTAATCATCATTGCTTGGTGATCGGTTTTGTGGGTGCCTGTGTGTGTTTGTGTGTGTGTGTGTGTTTTGAGAGGAAGTGGTTTCCCTAAAACAAAGAAAAAGGCAAATCTCCGCAGAATGATAAACATGAACTTAAATCTTAATCCTATTGGGCAACTTTCTCCAAAGGGCAACGGACAAAAAATAGGTGACCCCATCCAGCCTCGCAGCTTGTCCCTTTTGGTGATGAGATGATGACACACTTATGGACTTTAGGAAGGATGTGGGGAGTAAGCACTTCCTGTTAAAGGCCAGATCCTCTACCTTTGACTTGTGTGTGCCATAGAGGAAACAAGAAACGTCGCTGATGCAAATCCCGGCAGTACCCCCGCTCTCTTCCTTGTAAGAGCTTCTGAAGAAACCCACCAGCTCAGTTCTAGATAAGTCACCATCATGACTGCTATAGGCTGCTGCCCAAAGCTCTGTGTGACTGAAAGGAACCCCACACAACTCTAAGGGCAGTTTTATTTATTTTTTTTTTATGCAAAGAACTTTCGATTTCCAGAGCAACACTAACCAACATCTCTAAGCTTTTCTCAGCACTAAACTCTACTCATCATTGTAAGAGCTTCTAAAGAAACCCACCAGCTCAGTTCTAGATAAGTCACAGTTGCGATGCTACAGGCTGCTGCCCAAACACTGCACAACTCTAATGGCAGTTGTTTTTTTTTTTGTGCAATGAACTCTCGATTTCCAGAGCAACACTAACCAACATCTCTAAGCTTTACTCAGCACGTTCAGAACTGAGCTTCTGAAGAAACCCAAAAGATAAGTCAGAGTCCTGATGCTGTAGTCTGCTGCCCAAAGCTCTGTACGACCGAAAGGAACCCCGCACAGCTCTAATGGCAGTTTTATTTTTTGTGCAAAGGACTTTCAATTTCCAGGGCTTCAGAGCAACACTAACCAACATCTCTAAGCTTTACTCAGCATTGTCAGAACTGAAACCACGTCTGTTTTTGCTGACACAACAGTCAGCGTGCTAGAGTTGATGGCAGTTAGAGGTTTGCTTTCTTATAGTCTGTGAAGTGAGGCATGCTGCATGAGTTTACTGTAAAGAGGTGACGGCGCCATTGCTGGAAATTGCCCTATATAGGTCACTTCTGAGGTTAGAAGAGTCATTCTTCAACACTGCATTTACTCAGGCTTTGACACACCCTAATGTAACCACATGGCTAGATCTGCCATAAGATACATATAGTGCTGTTGTCTTCAGTATGTTGTATTTTTTAACTGCTACCAAAACAGACGTATTATTATTATTATTATTATTATTATTATTATTATTATACTTAGAGATATAGCTTGCCATCTCACTTAAGCAAGCCCAGTTAGCACAATAACAATATGGAACTCAGCTGCTTTAGCTTTTACAGGTTTCTTTAATAAATGATGTAAACTCAAGTATGAAACGTTACAGCATTTGCAGACACATGTTATACAATGTATAAAACAATAAATAAAAAACAACGACATGGCAATTAACATTTAAATAAATATTAATCCTGATACAAAAATTTCAAGCTGAAATGTAAAACCTAATTGCAAAAGGCAACTACTTTTCAAAATAGCCTTGGTCAATGTGACTTAAAGTATAAGCTTAGTTCTTTTAAGAACATTACCACATCAGGAACACTTCTAGAGCAGGGCTCTAGAAAACAAACAGCTCAGTGCAACAAAAGATTAAGTAGTGTGGCAGCATAGCAGAAAGGCGCCCTGAGTTCTTGAATTAACGGCATGATCATGCCAAATATTAAATAGGTTTCTTTACAATATCCAGTGCAATTGTTCTTCCATGGTCCACTGTTGCCCCGAAACCGCTCTAATGAGCCATTCGGGTTATCCAGCGGCTTTCTCGTCTGTAGTCAGTGTGTTGGACGCTTTGATGCCAGATACTTTTCAATGTAGTTGAACAGCATATCCAGCTCCCCCATGGCTTTGTACAGCCCTTTCTTCTTCATCTAAAAGACAAAAAGCAGACATTAACCCATGCCCTTCATTTGATAGGCATATCCATATTGATCACTTGTGTTCAGGTGATGTCTATCTAATAATCATGCACATAATGCACACCTTTGGTACAATATGGCTGTTTTGTACTGTGTTCACTTGATATTGATACTTACTTGTTGATATGAGTCCCTGATGCTGGAAATTTCAAAGGGCTTCTGGCATCCAAAGTAATTCCTCTGTAACACAAGGACATTGCAGTTAGTCAGCTGTTTTGGTTTTAACAGTTGGTTTTATTGGATATTAGGTGCAGTTACTTCTTCACAACATGTGGTTACCCCATCTCTGTAACAATCACCACAATTACATAGTTAGCCTAGTCCGGAAATTAAAGTGCATGAATGAAGCTCACGTTCAAAGGGGGATTGCTCACGCTTTGTTCTAATAATAGTGATGCTAGCATAGCACACATTCTGCTGCTTGTATGTGTGCTAATGCTATCAGTCTGCAGAAACTGTTCACATTTCTAAGTGATTTTGTCATTTAGAAACGACTCTTTACATGCTACATCAAATGAAGACCTTGAATCCAGTTTCCAGTCCTGGTTAACTGAATTGTTGATGTTATTGGCTACCTAGTGTCATACTGACCAGTAATTACAAAATCCAGGAACAGAAACCAGATTCACCATGCAGATTTTAAGAACTACATATTGCCCTAAATAGGGAGGCTCATGAAATATTAGCTTCTGTGCTGTGCGGTGCTGTATGGCCAGTAGGGAGGCAACTGGGTTTCAGCCACAGTGGCTGCTATGGCTTAAAAAACAAAGCAGTTGAACTTTGTTTATTGGCTGCTATTTTCGACCCCTATGTCCTGTGGTGTATGAGTACCCTGCTGAAGAAAAAAAAGGCCAGCCTGAATTCTATGCTGGTCTAAACTAGCTTACACTAGTCTAGTGCTAGTCTGGTGCAGATTTAGCTCATACCAGCATTCAAAACACAACCTACGCTGGTTTTGCTGGCAGCCATGTTGGTCTAGGATGCCTTTTCTAGCAGGCTAGGGAGTAGGGAGTAGGGAGTAGGGAGCAGGGAGTACGGCACTTCAAATGGAGCGCAATCACAGTCTCGACCACTGCTGACACAACAGAAGTGGACAAGTGACTCGTGATGTCGAGGAACTGTGCCAGTGACTAATATCTGATGATTATGAACGCCGGTTAGTTTTCGAGTAAAATGTTTCGATCTGTAATCGTCCGGTCACAGCGTTGGAAAGCTCAACAAGCTGACTCGGTACTTTCAGCTACACGTTTAGCCCACTGACTGACTGACCGACTGACTGACCGACTGACTGCCCTCAAGTTCCTTACAGCTATGATAAACCTTGTGTATTTAGCATAAGGACGTATTGGTATTTGAATAAATCTGGCACTATACAGAAGCTCTCTTAGTGAAGTAAACAAGCGTGAACACTTACGCATTTGATCAGGTCCCTCTTGAGCTCGTGGAAGATGTTTCCAATTTCGTCTATTGGCGTTTTGAAGCTCTTCCCGTCCTCAGTAATCGCCGTGGGCAGCACGATGTCCAGATAGAAATGCAAAACGTCGTTCATCGCATGGCAGCCGTAAGGGCTCTGGAAGGGAAAACGAGACTTAAAATATCAGTCGTGGCCGCAATCAAGCAGTCCTCAACACTCGTAGGCGACTTTTTTCACATTTTGACTTGTGTCAAAACAGCTATGGGTTTAGTATCACCCTTCAGTTTCGATATGATGAGTAAATTGTTATTACGAAGCAGATTTGTACCCGGGGAAGAAAGCTGCAGTTGTAGGATTGAGAGTCCTATAGCACCAGCAACATCAGTTGAATCATAAACACTGGTAGCAGTAGTAGTAATAGTAGTAATAGTAGTAATCTTTGGATGTCATACTCACATTGAAGGATTTCTGAAGGACTGTCTTGTTAAAAAGTGCACTGTCAAGCTCATCTTTCTCCTCCTGCATGGATAGAAATAAAAAGCTCAGCCTCAAGTCTCTGTTAACCCCCTTTCTATGATTGCCCTGGAACTTCACAGTTGAACCCCTCAGTCAAACCCTCTAGACAGAATTGAGTTTGTGGAGGCTTCTGTGCTCCATGTTTGTACTAAAAGCAGCATTCCTGCACTCTCATGAAGGCTCCCTGACTCCTGCACCAGAGCTACTAAGTCAAACCCAGTATGTATTAAGATCAAAACAGGTGGTAGTACTCACATAGTAGTCTCTTATCTTGTCGTACGAGGAGCGCAGCCTGTTCAGTCTGAGTGGGAAGCTCTCCACAAAAGTGCAGCAGCTGTCTCTGCAGCTGACTCTTCTGCTCTGAGAGTCCTCGACCAGCAGCACCGTCAGAAGTGAAGGCAAGAGGAACTTGAAGAAGTGCATCCTCGAGGTTGGAGTCTCACTGTCTGTTAACCCTTATGTAAGATTCAGCTGAACCCCCAAGGGAGGAGAAGTGCAGAAGAGTCTTCGAGGTGTCTTTTTTATACCCCATTTTCAAAAATTTCCTGTGGGGAGGTGGGTTTGGACTTACTGGCAATGAATCCTTGTGTCATCATGTCACTCCCTCACTCTTAGATTGACAGTTCTTTTTTTTTGTTACATAAATGGAAATGTTTTATTAATGAATTACACTCCACCTGAGATTTTTCCCCTTAGAGTCAGTTATGCAGAATGCTGATATAAAATTTTAATCTACCTTCAAAGATTTCCTTTTTCCTTTTTCTTTTTAACTTTCTCTTTCTTTTTTTTTAACACAGAACCACAGCAAAAGTGCAATTTTATCCAGGTCTGTTTCAATAATAATTTCTTGCCTTGTTCACACCTTGTTCATTAATTCTAATTTTAAAGAAGTAGTGATGTCTAATATTTAGCAAATGTTGTGTAGAATGTAGTTGAGGAAATTTATTTCACAATGCTACCAATGCAACAAGAGGATGGCATTGTACAGTACTGTACAAAGGTCAGAGATCCCTCTTTCTTTATTTAATTTTCAGTCAGGAAAAAGGAAGAAAATAGAGAATTACGTAAAAGCCTTGATAACTAAATATCAACTTTTTCAGTATTCGATGTGTCCACTCTTTCTTTTTATGGCAGCTTCCGTTCTTTTCAGGAGACTTGCTTTCAGTTTTTCAAAGAAATCTGCAAGGAAATTTTTCCACACCTCCGAAGTTCAGTCTTAGGAGTTGGTTGCGTTTTCTGCTTCCCATGATCCAAATAATCCCAAATACGTCCAGTGATGTTGAAGTCTGGACTTTTTTATGTTTCCTTTTCTCAGTAACAGCTTACTGACAGCTACACATCTCTTCAGAACCATAGCATAGAGCTGTTTTCTTATAGGGGATGTTTTCATATATATGGACAGAAACACCTGTAGGTTTTTCAGATCTGAAGCAGTAGTTGAGCTTGATTTTCACTTCTCTCTCAAAGATGAAAGCTTTAAGTTCTGTTAATCTGATGGTGACTGTTTTGGTGGTCTACCATGTGTTGCATGGGAGTTAGGAATACCATAGAGGTTTATCTTAATGAATGAATAACTTAATGGACACTTTGAATGGAAATTAAATAAATGCAGGTTGGTCTCTGACTTATATATAGAGTACTGTGTGTATATAATACTCACCTTGTATCTGACTATATATACTGTCACTGGTGTGTATTTGATATTGTAATGCCTTTAATAGAATGTGCTCATGTCACAGGTGAGATGATGGTTAAACAGGTTTCTACTAGAGACTTATAATTAAATGTAATACTCTTCCACTTTTACATAGCTCTCCATGTGTATTTATTATTTTCAGTCTGGGTAATTTCACAGAAAATGGGTTGAGACTGGTAAACAAAGTGTGAATAACATGCTGTTCCATGATATAATGATAAAACAGACCCTGTTTTACAGATGGTGCATGCGAGAGAGTTGGGTGATGTGGCCCAACCCATGATGCAAATGCTTCTTCCCCCCAGCCTCAGAGATATGCTGAGGTGAGAAACCTCATTTAGGGTTCAAGGCTTTGGTCTAGATTACTGTAAGCCACTGAATGTAAAGGAGGACACGTGCATATCAATGATGCCAAGAGATCTACACAGTTTCTGACATGGGCATGCTTTGTGGAAGTCTAGTACTTAGTTTTCCCCAGGCATTTTTTAATTGCAGTGGTTAGCTGTAACCATATCCTTTTCTAAGTCTAAGAACACTAACTGCCCAACTTGGCCTTCATGATCTAGTAGATGCCTTGATTACTTGGATTGAGAGTGATGAAAAGAACCAAGAGCCAAGTGAAAACCTGGGGATCAGCTGGGATTTAAACCCAGGTCTAAACAGCTAGTCTCAACACTGCGCTGGTTTAGCTAAAGGGCATATTTTTAGAATGTGCAAGCCAACACCTGTACAGCCTTTTTCGCATGACCCTGTGTGGGAAAACACATGACTGTTATAGGAAATTGTACCCCAAAGAAGCCTTCCTGACATTTGCATCAGTGGTCCTAAGTCATGTAATCAGTATGTATTTGGAGGAAAGTACACTGCAAAAAAAAAATACTGTAAATAAATTGGTAAAGATCTGGCTGCAGGGTTGTCAGGAGCTTACTGTTACATTAATGATGTTCTACTGTTGTAAAAAATTCATATGTTTACATTATAATACTGCTACTGTAGTATTATACCATAGTATTATTACTGTTAACTGTAATGTACTGTAAACAAGCAACATTGTGTTTTACTGGTGTTAATTTAGTTACCTGTATAAAAAAAATATTTGCCTGTCATGTCAGCATAAACAAATGAACTTGGATGTTTTCTTTTTATTTTATAATCAGTTCACCATCAAAGGAAATTCCATGTTATGTCTGGAAAAGACTTAAATAAATAATAAAATAAATAAATAAATAAATAAACCCAAAAAAAATTCCAGCTATCACATCATAACCCAACTTCCCTCTTCTAGTTATATTTAATATTAAAAGTAGATTAAACCCCTTTACTGGTAGACTCTTTGGGAGAGCGATGTCATGTGGTAGCACTGGACTTAGCACTTAGTTTCCTCCTTGTCTGAGTGAGAACGTTGAAAGGAAGAGATGTTTAGCTCGCTGTTTCTCGTTCAATAGATAAGAACCAAGTGTCACCGTATGACATCACACTGCAACGACGGTGACTCACTATTAGAAGGATTTTGTCTGTGTTCTTTTTATTCCTGACATTTGAAGCTGTAGAATGTGGAAAACACAGCAGCAAGCCTGGTCAAGAAAGTTGGTTGTATAAGATGTGTCACTCAAGACTGACCATCCAGTGTCCAATACAGCTTGCTGGTTTCTTACCTGAATTAAAAAAAAATAAAGGGTTAACAACTGGCAGCAAGGATATTATTTTACTGAATAACTAATTTTTGTTGGTTTATGTAAATCTCTAGCGTTTATTCTTTGGGTTGTTCTGACAAGGACTCTTATTTTGAAGGCGGGGCCTAAGAAGTAAGACATAGCTAGGCTTAGAGCAAATTAGAAAACCTCCCTTTTTTGTATGGCGTGGCTGTGGCCAACAACAGCCTCTAGTAAAGCACAATGACTTACGCAGAAACTGTGTCGTCTTTAATAGTGCTGAATGCTACAGGACATTAGTGTAGATGTAACATTACACAGGCCAAACACTGCGTACGTAAGACATTTTCAAGATGCACCATTAAGACAATATTTAGTCTTGTGTGCATTTGACGGCTAGATGCTGAATATGCCGAAAAGACAACAAACGTAGTCTCCTACAAAATGATAATCCAGACGGTTGAAAATGTTATAAATGAGCTTTGTATAACCTCATAAAAGAAATGCAATGCAATGCAATGAATGAAATGAAAATCACGAGGAACCGACACCAGCTACACCAGCTTTATATCATACGCATTGTACTCACGTAGTAGACTCTTATCTCCATGTGCGAGGCGGGACGCTCTCCACAAAAGAGCAGCAGCTGCCTTTGCAGTCGTCTTATCTGCACTGACAATCCTTGACAGTACAGTAAAGCTAGAAGAGAAGGCAAGAGGAACCTGGAGAGGCGCATGATCGAAGCCATACTTTTATTGGCTGTTATTCCTTTTGTAAAATCCAGCTGAACCTTGAAGGGAGGAGAAGTGCAGAAGAGTGTTCAAAGTGTCTTTTATACCCTATTTTCAAACTTTTTCTGTGGGGAGGTGGGTTTGGACTTCCTGGCAATAAAGCCTTGTGTCATTATGAAACCCCCTAATGCTTAGATTGAGTTTTTTGTTTGTTTTATGTTTAGTTTTACATTCATGTATGGAGGTTTTATTAATGAATTACACTCCATCTGAGATTTTTCATCTTATAGTCAGATATCCAGACTTTAAAGTTCATTATTAGCCGTGTTTAAGATTTACATGTATGTTTTTTAGTCTTAGCAAACCGTTTACTAAAGAGCCAGTGACCATGATCCTGGTAATTTCTTCTAAACCAGCCCCTTAAGACTATCTTACTTTTAATTCCTCTGGTTAAATTAATAAAAATGATGTGAAAACCCCCTGAGATTTTTGCCTAACTGAAGGATGGGACTCTTTCAGATACAATACAGATAGATAGACAGATTATCTGTCATCATCTCTGCCTTTTACTGATTAGGTTTCATCCATCCTATGAATAGCAGTTGGATTGTTAAGAACATAACAGGTTGCGAGATTAACCAAAGTTAAGACGTACATGACCCCTATTTTGCTGAGACATCTTTACGGGCGACCACCGCGACCCAGAAGGATAAGCGGTTTAGATGATGGATGGATGGATCTTTACGGGCCCAATAACAATCTTTTGACACCTCACCAAGATGGCTGCAAAGTAGCTGTACGGTGACAGAAACGCTTCTGCGTTTACAGTCTATAGATACTGCAGATGGCCTGGACAGCATGAGGGTGATGCTGTCTGAGAGCTTTATTTTGTGCCTAACAATAACACATTCTCAGTCATTGCAGAGTAATGTTCTTATGACGGATGCTGTGGCTTTACACGTTCAGTGCCTTTCGAGGATGTTCCTCGAGAACGGAGGCGGAGGGAGAGAAGGATGAATGGATAGCTCATAGTCTCATTTTGTGTGACAAAAAGACTCTGAGCCAACTTCATTGGAACTGGACTCCCACATTGGTGAGAGGCGTATTTTTTCTTACAAAAACGCATCAAACGCATCACCCAGATGAAATGTCTTCCTTTGAGTCAAATAACATGACCTTAGTCATGACTGAGTGTGTGATGTGGCTTTCATAATTTAAGAGACTGTGAAAGCTTTATTTGTTTTTTTTTTATCTCTAATCTAACTCTTGAAATATTGCAGATTTCACCAAGGACCCTGGTGAAGTACTGTAGTATCGGTGCAGGAGTTCGATACCGTGTCAAAGTATCTGTA